TAACTAAATTTCAACGTATGTTTTTTTTTTTTTTTCTTTTTTTTCTTTTTTCTTGGCAGCTGGCTGGTAAGGGATCCAAACCTTTGACCTTGGTGTTATAATACTGTGCTGTAACCAACTGAGCTAATAGGCCAGCCCCTAAATTTCAACATATGAATTTTGGCAGACACAAACATTCAGACCATGACACCTATCAACTAAATTCATCAATTGTTAACATTTTGCCACCTTTGCTTATCTTTCTAAATATACACACATACACATTTTTTTCCCCAAATCATTTGAAAATAAGTTGGAGATTTCTTGACATTTTACCCTTTAATACTTTTAATATGTATCTCCTAAGTATTAAGGACATATCTCAAACCTATTATCTCAAACACTAATATATTATCTCAAGCTTGTTATGTTCAGATATCTCCAGAAGTTCCCAAAATATCTTTCTTTAGCTGCTATTGTGTTTTTTGTTTTGTTTTGTTTTGTTTTACTTGTTTGTTCAGATGATCTAGGATCCAGTCAAGATTTATGTATTTCTTTTGGTTGTTGGATCTCTTTAGTCTCTCTTAATCTAGAACAGCCTCTAATTTTTTTGTTTTATGTGATATAGAATATTTTGGAGAACCCAGGACAGTCATCTTATAGAATGTCCCGCAGCTTTTATTTGTCTGATGGATTTCTCACGGATAGGAGGCTTAGATTCAGGTTAAGTATTTTTTGGCAAGCATTCCACACAGGTGATATACCTTTTACTGTGTTACTTTGGGAGGCACATAATGTGAGGTTGTTCCACTATTGGTGAGCTCAAGTTTTATCACTTAAGGATAAGGTGGTGAGTATCAAATCTTTCTAGGATGAAGGTACACGTTTTTCTTTCATATTTAGTAAATAAGTTGTGGAGTGATCTGTGAGATCAAGTGAGTATCCTTTTCCCCAACACAATTCATTTTCTGAATTAGAATCCATTGGGGATCCTTGTCTGAATCAGTTGTTATATTTCTGATTTTAAAATAGCGATTTTCAGATTCCTTCATTCCTTCTCGCACCCTACTTCACACTTGGTAGATGCTTAACAAACTTTAAAACGTTATTTCCTCTCATTAGATACTGGACTTTCTTGCATCAACTTCCAATTTTCTTTTCTGCTTTCCATTTCTGTATCTGCTTGTACTTTTTTTTTTTTTTTTTTGTCTTTTTCCGTGTCCGGCAACGGATCGCAACCCTCAGTGTTGCCCCCATACCGGACCAGGGACCGGCAACGGGATCGCAACCCTC